TTCCATGGAGATCCTGAACTTCCAGAACCTTCCACAAGGATCCAAAAATTGCAGAACTTCCGGAATTTTCCATGGAATTCCAGAACTTTCCATGGAGATCCTGAACTTTCCAGAACCTTCCATGGAATTCCAGAACTTTCCAGATGTTTCCAGGTGCTTCCACAGGGATCCAGAACTTTCCATGGAGATCCTGAACTTCCAGAACTTTCCACAAGGACCCAAAAATTGCAGAACTTCCGGAATTTTCCATGGAGATCCAAAAATTCCAGAATTTTCTACGGAATTCCAGAACTTTCCAGATGTTTCCAGGTGCTTCCACTGGAACTTCCAGAACTTTCCATGGAGATCCAAAAATTCCAGAATTTTCTATGGAATTCCAGAACTTTCCATGGAGATCCTGAACTTCCAGAACCTTCCATTGATGGAATTCCAGAACTTTCCACAGGGGACCCAAACATTGCAGAACTTCCGGAATTTTCCATGGAATTCCAGAACTTTCCAGATGTTTCCAGGTGCTTCCATTGGGATCCAGAATCTTCCAGAACTTTCCATGGAGATCCTGCACTTCCAGAACTTTCAGAACTTTCCACGGAATTTCAGAACTTCCAGAACTTTCCGCAGGGATCCAAAAATTCCAGAGTTTTCCATGGAATTCCAGAACTTTCCAGGTGCTTCCACTGAGGACCCAGAAGTTCCAGAACTTTCCATGGAATTCCAGAACTTTTCATGGGGTTCCAGAGATTCCAGGTCTTTTAATGGAATTCCAGAACTTTCCAGGTTCTTCCACTGGGATTCAGAACTTTTGATGGAATTACAGAAATTCCAAAACTTCCAGAATTTTCCATGGAATTCCAGAACTTTTTCATGGAGATCCTGAACATTCCAGAACTTTCCATTCATGGAATTCCAGAACTTTCCAGATGTTTCCAGGTGCTTCCATTGGGATCCAGAACCTTCCACATTGGGATCCAGAACCTTCCAGAACTTTCCATGGAGATCCCGAACTTCCAGAAATTTCCAGGGGGATTTCAAACCTTCCGGAACTTTCCGGAGATTCAAAATTTTTTATGGAATTCCAGAACTTTC